AAGAGTCACTTCATTATAGCAGATGCTGTGTTTTTAATTGTGTCAGCCTGGAAAGAGGTTTCTATGAGGTGTCTTTGTGCTGCTTGGAGGCCATTGTGGCCTGAATGTGTGCTTCAAAGAGACTTTGAAGAGTTAGAGGAAGAGGCTGTTGTACATGAAATTGTGTCTCTGGGCAATTCCATGGGCCTGGAAGAGGATGATGTTGAGGAGTTGGTGGAAGAGCACAGTAAGGAGCTGTCCACTGAGGAGCTGCTTGAGCTTCACAAAGAGGAAAATGAGACACTGAAGCAAAGCTTAACTTCTGGGGAGTCAGGGGAGGATGAGGACAAGGAGGAAAGCCGGATCATTCCAGCCGAAGATCTCAAGGATGTGTTCTTTTGCTGGAGCAAACTGTCTAAGCTTGCAGAGGATTATCATCCTGATGTTGGTGCTGTGAAAAAGGGCATCAGTGTGTTTAATGACACTGTGATGAACTGCTTTTGGAAGGTCCAGAAATCAAGGTTGAAGCAGCCAACCCTGGATTCCTTCTTTAAAAAAGTAGTAAAAGACCCTACAGACAAAGTGCCTGTAAGACAGTCACCAATGAGGGCTAGGAAGGATTACCCCTCTCCTTCCACCTCTTCTCCATAATTCTCTCCTCCCTCCTCCTCCTCTGCCTCCTGTCCTGCATGCTGAACAACACTAAGGTAAGAGAAAGTACTGTATTTTTTACATTTTCCACAGAAAATTTTCAGTGTTAAGTGGTTGTATTTGGGGGCCTGGGGCGGATTAATCCTATAACGAACGAGGTTCTAGAACCAATTAGATTCGTTATAGCATACCCCACTTATATATATATTTATTTATTTATTTAACCAAACTTTTAGATAGACTATTCTGGATTATTATAGTAAAGAAGTGAAGTTTCAAACTTAATTAAAACGGTATTTAGGGATTCCAGTAGTTCAGACTCAAGGAAAACATCTCCAGCACCCAGAAATGTTCTGGGGAAATGGGCTAGTGTGCGACTGTGCAAGAGGTCTAGTTTAGACACTTGGAAACTTTTCCCAGTAACCAGAAAAAGTTTCGGGGATAAGGAATTTTTCTGGTTTTGAGAAAGTCTTTCTTGTTACCCGGAAATCTCTCATCCCTGGAAGTGCTCTGCACCAATTGTTCCGGCTAACGGGGATATCACTGTATTAATCTACACCACGAACATGCCAAAAAACCAGCTTTTTAAAGTGAAACAGATTGTAAGAGTATGGAAACAGAAAAAGGCAGAGCATTCTACAGTTTGGCTGTGTGAGGAAAGAAGGATATACTATAATGGGTTAATTTAGTGTGACAGGCAGCCACAGAGAAACTGGGCACTGCGGGCAAGACAAGTGTTACAAGCTCACGCCCTTGCTGGCAGTACACAGGATGCCAAATCCACCGAACATTGCCCGTTAAAGTTACCTGTAAAAGAGAAAGAGTGAAGCAACATTGCAATTAAGAGAAAGGGAAGACAGATTTTCAACTGAAGGAATAGAGTCAATAAGACGAAATGCCTTTGATTCCACCCTATCTAACAGTTGGACAGAAGAAGAGCCACTCCAGATATGAGAGCAGTACTCCAAGTCAGGATGAATGATTCCCTTATAAACTTGAAGCAACTGCCCAGGAGTGAAGTAACTACGGCATTTGTATAGCATTCCCAGCTTTCGGGAGGCAGCTTTAGCAATGTTGTGGATGTGTGGCTTCCATGACATATTAGAGGAAATGGTGAGACCTAGCATATCTATTTTAGGCACCAACAAAGCATCGAGAATTATTAAATCACAAATTCTTGTTTAATTGATTTTAACGGAAATAATTATTTATGGTCCAGAGACCAAAAAATACAAATAAAGTAAAATTTTCCAGAACTGCTTTAATAAACACTAAATATAATACAGGTTGACAATCCCTTATCCGAAATCCTTGGGGCCAGAGGCATTTCGGTTTTCGGAATTGTTCGGTTTTCAGAATGGTTAGTTTTTTTTTTTTTTTTTTTAGCCCATCCAGGCACAAGTCACTGACCCACATTGGTGCCTCGGGGTGGGGGAATAGAATAAAAATTATAATAATAATAATAATTCATAGGTCTAGGTCGTGTTTCTCACTTTTGATCTTTTTTCATTGTATTTCTTTATTATTATTATTTTATTATTACTGTATTATTGTTATTTATATTATTGATAATTTTTTATTATATTTTATTATTATTATTATTATTGTTATCATTATTATTTTATAAAATTTTTGTATTTTTTATTAAAATTTTTATTTACTATGAATAATTATTATTATAATTATTACTACTATTACATTTTCACTCCCCAGGCCCCGATGTGGGTCAGTGATCTATGCCCGGGTGGGCTAATCCCTGTTAAAAAAAAAAAAAAATCGCCCCACAAAAAAACTTTCGGTTTTCAGAGCTTTTCGGTTTTCGGAATTTCGGACAAAGGGTTGTCATCCTGTACATACCTAATACTATTCATTAAAAATATAATAGCACACAGAGTTTGCAAATACATTTCATAATTCTGGGGGTGTATTCCTGAGATATTCATAAGGATAAATGACTTTATGACCATAGTGCCAATACCCCATAGTTTAGGAGTTATAACACATGACAGTTGAGGTTGGAATGTGATAAAATCTCCAGAGTAAAAATGAAATATCCAGTATTGCAAGTACAATTTATTTACAGTCATATGTAATCCAATATAGTTTTCACAGTAAATGTACACAGTTCTGGCCCTCTTCCTGAATCTTCCCACTTAGTACTTTAAATAGGGCTTGATATTTTATGTTTTATGTCCATAGACTTGTTGCAGTTCTCCCCTACCCAATTTTGTGGTATGACTCCTTTAAATAAACTATGGGGTATTGACACTGGTCATGGAGTCATTTATCCTTATGTCTATCTTGTATGTATGTGTGTATCTTAGGAATACATCCCTGGATTATGAAACATATTTAATAAACACCTTGTAGATATTATACAAAGAATAAAGTAATCATTCCATTTAACGAAATAAAGCTTGCAGGCTGATTCTGCAAAAGGGAGGATTCCATTAAATCAAATCCAGTTATAACTCTGGCAATGAAGTGGATGTGTTCATGAAATCCACTTTGTTTGGCATTAGATTTAAGTGGAAATAGGTTTCAGTCCTTTATTATTCTATATTTTGCATATGTCAAAATTGAACAAAAATGCTATAATATACAATAAAAACGATACATACCACATCATCAAATACAACAGCATATATTTCATGTATGTACAAGAAATAGCTCTAGGCGATGCCAAGAGTGAACCACAGTTCAGCCAGCCAATGACTCAGACGTGTGTGGCTGCCACATTACAGTGTGTGTATGAAGTGCTGTCACATCGGGCCCCAAGGGAGGAAGTGAGGTGCCTCCACACAGACATTCATTTCGCACACATACACACCCATGTTCTTCATTTTTCTGATTTTAAAGTTCTATATTATATTTTCTTAATTTTGAAGTCATATTAGAGTAAGTTGTGAGTCTACTGTAAATAAATTTATCGCTATGTATTGGAAATTTTTGATAATTTTGGTAGTAGTGATAAATTTGAAATATTTCCTGCCCAATTTCCCTCGCAAAATAAAAAAAATTATCGCTCTATACAGGAAATTTTTTATAATTTTAGTAGCCGCGATATAAAAAAGCGTGATATAAAGTCACTACTGTATATATCCCGACCCTACTGTACTGAAGTAATTTATCTACAAATTTTATAATTTCCATGACATGTAATAATGGCAACATGCATAGCCATCTCACAGCTGACTGGTGATGTGTTATGGGGAGCTCTATTACACTGTATTACTTATAATGGTTCCTTTACATATTAGATGCTCTTCACACAACTGTATTCATACGTCAATCTCGGGTACTGAGAGATTAGTCCTTAAGTAAATTGTTGCAAACCACTCGCAAAAGTACTGAGAGTGAATTATAATCCACCTGTTGGAACTGGCAAAAATGCCCTACGATCCCACAAACCCAATGCACTAACGTATACAGGATACAGTACAGTATTAGCAAATTAACTAATAAAATTTTTGAGTTTCTGTAAAATTGAGAGAGACATTCTCTTGCCCTTCTCTAAATTGGATTTAGCACTCACTTTAGGCATGGTGACAAAGATATACACACACACGCTGAGAGAATACAAAAAAGCTGGGAGACCACAGCAATGTGTGGCAAGGCGAGGTGGGCAAGGTTGGCGGTCATCTCTAATATACGGGATAGTCCCTTATTCATTGCCTTGTCCTGTTTTCCTGAAAAGGTGAGCATGGGACAGTTAATTGTCTCATATTTGAGTGGCCTCAGTATGTTGTATTAGCGCTATAACCGATCACCCCTGTTTATGAGTCAAACGCTTCATACAACAATAAATTTAAAAAGTAACTACAGGTAGTCCCCGACTTACGACTGCTTGGGCTTACGTCCATCGGTACTTACGACCTGCTCTGACCTTACGACCGTCGGGACTTACGACCTCCTCAGTTGTGACCAATTTTTTTTTTTTCTTCAAATGACGCGCGCATTTTCTATACCGAAACGTTTCCAGTTAATGTAGTCTCCATATTTAATTAGACAATTATGGGGGCCCCGTGTGCATTCAGCTGACTACATTATAGGTAAGTGCTCAGTCACACTGTATCCATTCCTCATTAATTATTACTTTTACTGTACTGTATCCATTCCTCATTATTTATTACTTTTTCTGTACTGTAGTTCATTGTAGATTTTTTTTTTTTTTTTTTTTTTTTTTTTTTTTTTTTTTTTTTTTTTTTTATCTATGTCGGACTTACGACCTGGATTTGGGTCCCTAACCCCGTCGTAAGTCGGGGAGCACCTGCATACAGTACAGTATACATTTTTTTAATTTAGTTCAAAAATTTTATATTTTTTTCACAAAACAATGTGGTATTTTATTTATATGTTGTAGGTTATGGAAGCAGTGGTGAACATTGTGTATTGTAAAGTTTGCATCTTAAGAGTAAATATCCATGAACTAAAACACAAAGTGTACAGGATGACTAAAGTGGACTGTTGCTAACCAGGAAAAGTTGTATTTTTGTGGCTCTCTGATCCATACAGTAAATATTACTTATGGTTGCATGTGAATTAATCTAAATATTTATGATGATTGTGTATTTAGGTTCAAACCCGAACTGGAAGTGTGTTGAAACCAGTTTCCTGCCATTGTTATGGAAGTGCCCGAGTTTGTGGTGTATGTGCCGGTAGAAGTAATCAAGTGGCACCTCGGGCAGGCACCCCAGGCTTTAGAGCACCTGAAGTTCTTTTACGACATCCTGACCAAGGAACAGGTGAGTGAGAATTTGACATTTAGCGAGACACTATCAATAGTGAATTACTAATATCATCATTTCATTATACATTGGAAACCTGCTAGTTTGTGAGGCAGCATTCATATACTCCTCAGATAATGTTGGTTGTGCTCATAATTCTCTATTATCCCAAATTTCCTTGTTGCTGCTCAGTTGTTTGTGTGCTCTTCAAACTTGTTGACCTGAAGTTTTGATTTGGCCATGTTGCTATTTCCTTTTTAATCCATGTTGGCAAAATATGGGTTTGCCATGCAACATGGAAGAATTGAGAATGAGTGAGGTATTAGTCTTTCAGGTTTTTATACTGATAAGTAAGATGTCATAAACATGTCATGTGCAAGCAAGTTTATCACAATTCATAGCAATTACCAGGTCCAAAATTTGCCATATAAAATTTGAAGTCAGTCGTCCTCTCAAACAGTTTTAGAATACATAAGTTGAATTATTTTAGCACAAAATTATTTTAAGTTCTGAGGAAAGAATGAGAAAATACAAGAAAAGCAAAATGCAATTTGGCTTATTTGAGGAAGGGATTGGCAGGTACTAATTTTCTCCCTTAGTTCTGTAACACTTGCGAGTGAATGAAGATGTTTATAAATATTTAAAATCTATTGCACTACAAAATAATAACTTCATTGAGTAAGATATAATTTTGTGTAGGAGCAATGAACTACAGTCGGCCCTTAACATACGCGGGTTTAGCATACACGGATTTGCAAATACGCGTATTGCCCCGCCGGAGGAATATTCTGTACATTGAAGTAATTGAAGTACATTCAAATCGCGCGCCATTCAACCCGCGCGCGGCACCGAACACAGGACACCGCCCGCTCCAGCAACCTCACACACACGCATAGCTCTCCCTCACTCAGTCAGTCTCGCTGTAACCACGCTTGTGTTGACATCAGCATTGTAGTTGCAAAAATATTACATTTCCGTGAATGTATTATATCAAGCACAGTATGAATAGAATATCACTAGTATAACAGTATTTTAACCGAAAACTATTAAAAAAACGAGTAACATATCTTGAACATCGGAAGCTTAGGTAAAGTCTTTTGTTTTCATGTAGTTTATCCTAATTTACATTGAAATACATTACGTTTCAGCAAAACTACTATTTATTTCTGAGAATATGGAAATGTAATATTTTTGCTGAAATGACGTAAGTATTACAGTGGAAAGTGACGAAAGCAATGACTTTCGCTTTCTTTCGTTCAAAAGATGTTACCGTAATCGGTTTTCGAATGGTTTTCAGTTAAAAAACTTTTGTATTACAATAATATTCTATCCTAATTCACTTGTGATGCAACAGTTTTTTAACTGAAAATCATTCGAAAAGCAATTACGGTAACATCTTTTGAACGAAAGAAAGCAAGTCATTGTTTTCGTCACGATTTTATCCCACTTTCCACTGGAATACGTACATCATTTCAGCAAAAATATTACATTTCCGTAAATGCATTATATCAAGCACAGTATGAATAGAATATCATTGAAATATAACAGTATTTTAACCGAAAACTATTATAAAAACGAGTAACATCTCTTGAACATCGGAAGGTTAGGTAAAATCTTTTGTTTTCGTCATGTATTTTATCCTATTTTACATTGAAATACATCACGTTTCAGCAAAACTACTATTTATTTCTGAGAATATATTCATTCGGGCGCAGTTTAGGTAAAATATACATGTGATGTAACATTTTTTTAACTGAAAATGATTCGAAAAACACGTACCCTCTAGCCCTGTTCAAGGAGAAGACTGGGAGGAGCTGTTTGGTGTTGAAGACGATGACAAGGAAAATGATTTTGATGGATTTTAATGAAAATATTCAGAAATATGGTATCGTAGTATTTATTCAAGTGAATTAGGATAGAATATTATTGTAATACGACAGTAGTGACGATGTGGAGGAGGCGGAGGGATAGAGCGGGGAGGAAGTGACTGGCGGGAGCAGGGACGAGTGGAGATGCCAGCCAGTACATTACGGGTGTATTAATTGTTTTTATACTGTAGCTATTTTTGCATTTTAATATTAAATATTGTACATTACGTTTCAAAAAAAAAACTACCATTTATTTCTGAGAACATGGAAATGTAATATTTTTGCTGAAATGATGTACGTATTACAGTGGAAAGTGGGATAAAATTGTGACGAAAGCAATGACTTTCGCTTTCTTTCGTTGTTCAAAAGATGTTACCGTAATTGCTTTTCGAATGGTTTTCAGTTGTGGGATTATAAGGCTAATGATAGGATAGAATTTTATTGTAATACAGACCGAGTACAACAGTTTTTTAACTGAAAACTATTCGAAAAGCGATTACGGTAAAATCTTTTGAACAACGAAAGAAAGCGAAAGTCATTGTTTTCGTCATGATTTTATCCCACTTTCCACTGTAATATGTACGTCATTCCAGCAAAAATATTACATTTCCATATTTATTTCCGAGAATATATATATTCAGTCACAGTAAAGGTAAAATATACTTGTGATGTAATATTTTAATGAAAATACGGTATCGTAGTTTTCTTTTGTTTCAAATTTAATTAACAAAGATTGATGTTTCAAATGTAATGAAAAAAAATTTATGTACAGTATCTATAAATACACTTTAATAAATGAATACTTTGTTTTACATCGTCCTGTGCTACCATACCATGGATTTGGCTTCTTTAGGCTTGTTATGATGACGCAAGAGATCTGCCCTGGCAACTGTACCGACACTCACAGCTGGTGGTGCGTTGGTGCATCGTTTCCATTGTTTACTGGTAGTTACTGGTAAATATTTTTCAACCTAACGAAACTATTACCCGTTTAGAGGTCGACCCCCAATTTTTTGCCAAATAATTTGGTCTTAAAAACTCGAACTACACACAGGTATATATGGTAAATAAGGACATGGGGGGCCAGGGTTTTTTTTGGGGGGGGGAGCAGCAAAAATAAGCGGATTTTTAACATCCACGGGTATCTCTGTTACGTAACCCCCGCGTATGTTAAGGGCCGACTGTATTATACATAAGAAAGAACTAGTTAACTTGATAACCAATTCCCATTAATTTAAATGTAAAAATTCCCAAAGTTATCCTCAATGCCCTCAAAACCGTACTGACATATTCATTGGGCTAATTTGGAGAGTCTACTAAATAAGCTCATTTAGAATAATTTTTTTCATGGTAGAACTTTACCTGAAAAGACTAAAAAATATCAAAGAATTTAAAAACTTTTCTAAAGGAGAGAAAGCACATACGCATAGCTGCATCTCTAACAACTACTCCTGCAAATCAAATATTTCATACTAATATGATTTGACTTTTATTCTTTCAGCAGTTGACATGTGGTCTGTGGGGATTATTCTGTTGTGTCTTTTGAGTGGACGTTACCCATTCTTCCGAGCAGCAGATGACTTGTCAACATTAGCAGAGATTATAACTCTCTTGGGAACCAACACAGTTCGGAAAGCAGCTGCTAAGTTAGGTAAGGGGAAATGATGGTGTGACAAATTTTATGCTTCATGACTCAATTAATGTTTAATAATTTGGATATTCAGGTATCCCTCATTTGGTGAACATTCACTTAGTGATATTTTGGTTTAGGAGTTTAAAATTTTTAACACCCTTTCTTGTTTAACAATCGTCAATTTTTGGTTTAGTGATCTTCGTCTCACTTGGAAAAATTCAGGATTCTGTGTTCCAAGTGTGAATCATTACTAAACTGTAATGTGTCTTAGATAAAGAAAATACTGTACTGTATACAATACAGTATACAGTACAGTATATTAAAGTAAATAATACATTACGAGGTGATCTGATAATAAAGTGGTCCCTTGGTTAACGAAATTTCGGTTACCGAATCACCTTCCATAAGAATCTTCATTTCGGTTAACAAACAAAAATTCGGTTTATGAAATTCCTACGAAAATATTTCGACATGCTTTGGCTTGCTCACCAGCTGGAAAATTAGTCCGCCAATACAGAAATCGGGGATCACCTGAAGAATCATCACCCCAGCTTATTTCACCTGAAGATTAACTACAGGCATCCCCCGTGTTACGGAAGGGTTCCGTTCCCGGAAAATTGACCGTATCGCGAAATTCCGTAACGCGAAACCTATTTTCCCATTGACTTCCATTATAAAGCTGGAGATGCGTTCCTAAGGAATTTTTTCGGCCCCAAAAAAGTAATTCAAGCACTTTTATTAATGAAAATAAACATTTATAAACACATACAATACAGTACATTAAATAATTTATGATATACCTTCTTAAAACACCAATTTAGGGGTTAATATTGCATTATACAGCTATGTGTATGTTTATTTGAGTGCCTCGTCATAGGAGTCCATTTTCTCTCACTTCAAGGCTGCCTGAGTCGTCCGTTTTCCCTTAATCTTAAGAGTGCACCAGGGACTACTGTTTATTTTTTAGTGGTGACACAGAATTTGATATTGCAACTGGGGTTGCAATTGTTGAGGCAACTTAGGTATGTCTGATTACAGTTTGAATATTCAAGATCCATTGTGAGTGATGTTTAAAGGTTCAACTGCCTTTATGGTTGGTAAAACTTGTCAGTCTGAATGGCATGTGTCAGGCCTTGTGTTTGTACAACCGCTAAATATATGAATATATAATGTTATGGTAATTATCAGAAACACACATAGGCATGACGAGGTTTATTACAAAGTGATGAAAAGGATATTGTATAGTGGGTAGTCCACAAAACATGTGCTAGCCATGTCTCTTTATTTGAGTGCCCCGTCAAAGGAGTCCATTTTCTCTCACTTCAAAGCCACCTGAGTCGTCCGTTTTCTCTTAATCTTAAGAGTGCACCAGGGACTACTGTTTATTTTTTAGTGGTGACACAGAATTTGATATTGCAACTGGGGTTGCAATTGTTGAGGCAACTTAGGTATGTCTGATTACAGTTGGAATATTCAAGATCCATTGTGAGTGATGTTTAAAGCTGCAACTGTCTTTATGGTGGGCAAAACTTGTCAAGTTTGTCAGTCTGAATGGCATGTGTGAGGCCTTGTGTTTGTTAAAATTTACCCCAATTTCCATAAGGGCGGATTTACGGGCTGTAACGCGAAATTATTGGTCATAATTTACAAATTCCGTAAGAGCGAAATTCCGTAACCCGGGCTTCCGTAACGTGGGGGATGCCTGTACCTTAATGCTAACTTAACCTAACCTAAACCTATTCTATCCTAACCTACATCTAACCTAACATATCCTAACCTAACCTCATCCTCGCAAACTAGTTTTAGGGTGGTTTAATCTTTAGGTGAAATAAGCTGGGCGATGATTCTTCAGGTGATCTGAAATCGGTTCTAGGGCTTACATTCGTTAAAATTGGAGTAAATATCAAGAAGGTTGTACTATTCAATAATTTTCCAAGTTTGATATTGAATTTTTTAGTCATTTTAACACTTATTTAACATAATTACAGTACAGAGAACTAGTTTTTGGTGTGCCCATCAGCCGCTTCACTCACCCACCAAGGCCTCAGTTTGTATCTCTGTTCAGTGGAAGAAACATCTTGCTTGTGGGTCTTTTGAACACAGTATTTTTACGTTTTTACATTACAATTCTTGGTCATTCTGAAATTTATTTAACATATTGACAATATATAGTGCAGTGCAGTGTTGATTTAAAGAAAATAATCTTGAATTACACCTAGTGAACTTAAAATTTTATGGGTGAAATGACGGCATCAAGCATGGGGTGATTTCTCTTCCACCCCCATTTCCTTCTCTTCTCCTTTCTCCTCCACCCCCACTTCTCATTCCCATCATCATCATCATCAACCAGGAGCCTTCTGCATACACACCTCGAAGTAAGTGTACTTTACTGCATTTTTTTTTTTTTTACTTTGTATGTAATTTTCGGTGAACTGGAACCAATTACCCCAAATCCCATTGAAACAATGGTTTTGGCTAACGAAATTTTCCGTTAACGAACGACCTTCTGGAACGAATTGTGTTCAATAACCGAGGGACCACTGTATGTAGATGATATTCCGAAAGTGTAATGGTTACATTGTTAAATGAATTAAAAACCCACATTGGTGATGTAAACGCCCTAGTTAAAGACGTTCAGGTGACGGGCAAGTCGAAGGGAATGATTGAAACCCATCTTTTGATGCATTCAATATTTATTGATGTGGTCAAAACCTGCAGACAACAAGGCATTCATTAGTACTACATGGTGATCTATCTGATATAATAATTAGTTAGTCTCACACAATTTATCTTAATTATAATTGATTATTGAACATAATGACATGATACAAAGTTCATAACTCTATTAATCTTAGCTGCACTTCATTCCGCGTTGTCTTATTGCACCAGATAAGGCAGGAACGAGTAGGCATAATTAGTCCACAATATTTCAGTACTGAGGGGTATGTCATCACTTTGGCTGTACTTACAAGTGCGGGTCAATCCGAATCAGTATGGTGTTCCAAGGGAAGATAGTACTGTGTAAATTGTTCAAGTACAGAACACTCGGCCAGGATTGGGACTTGTTGTTCACCACTGCTAGCTGGTCCTCACAGCATCATTTGAGGGGGCAGTCTCATGGAGTCCAGGCGGCCACGCCGCCTTTTTAAACCATGCATTTTGCAGAATCAGGACCTCTTGTCTGTAAACACCACCCACCCCCTAATCTTTGTTCGGGTAAGGCAGTAAGATGCCAGTAGTCACACGCCAGCGCGATAACACTCCCGGCGATGCTAATTACTTACGCCAGTGGTGATGACACTCCCGGTGGTAAATACCCCCCCTCCCCCCTCAGCCGCCACATTTGTCGAGGTAACAGGTCGCGTGGTTGGGGGGTTATCAAGAGGGTGATCTGCATCATGCACCCTCTCAGCACCCACGTGGTAAACACCTCTCCCCCAGCCGTCACATCTGGCGTGTTAACAGGCCGCATGGGGGGTTGAGGCACCAGTGATAAAAAGCCAGCGGCGATGACAGGTGAAATAAAAGACCAAATCTTGGAGCTGACATACCCTCTTCAACCAACGAACAGAACAAAACAAGGAAGAAAGACATAAAACAAAGGAATCGGGTCACATGACCTGTCTCCTGAGTTCAAGTAGGGTGAGGATTATGGATAATCTTTGTGATGGCAGTATTCAGGTCCAGGTGTCAAGACTTGTGATTCTCTCCAGGAATACTGTCACAAATCACAGGTTCTTCCACATTGAACTTTAAATACTTTTTTTCTTTCTTTGCGGGCATTTGCCCACCCGGGTACAGGTCATTGGCTCACATCGGAGCCTGGGGGCAAAAATATAATAATTATAATAATAATTGATATCTCTGTTAGCCGGAACAATTGATGCAGAGCACTTCTGGGAGTGAGAGATTTCCGGGTAATGAGACAATTCTCTCAAAGCCAGAAAAAATCCCTTATCCCCCAAAATTTCCGGGTAATGGAAAAATGTTCTTGGAAGATCCAGAAATTGCCCATTACATCATCTCTCAAAGCCAGAAATATATACCCCATCCCCGGAATTTTGCGGTATTGAAAATTTTTTCTCAAAATTTCTTGAAAATGCTCTTAATTTTCATATATCAAACCCCGAAAAAAATCCCCCTTCCCCGGAATTTTCTGGGTATCGGGAAAATTTTCTCGGAATTTTACAAAAAATTTCGGGTTTGGGAACGATTTTCTGAGAAAATTTCAATTCTGGCTATCGGAGAGTTCTGCATTTGAGGGATTCCAGATAACAGAGATGTTACTGTAATATTAATAATAAAAAATATAAATTAAAAAAAAAATAATAATAACAATAATAAAGAACCATAAATAAAAAATATATAATAAAAAATAAATAGTGAGTAACGACATATTTATGTTATGTTGTCAAAGTAAGAGATACAGTTGTGTGTAAATGAGGCAGAATGTCAGATGAGCAACCTGGGACTTGGTCACAATTTTTTTGATGCCATGTGGCAGCAGGGTCTACCATTCGACAACACATTATGCTTCCAATATCTTCCCAGGTGGTAGTACCTCATATAGATTATGACATCTTACATAATAAACAAGGGCACCCAACTGACACGGCATAACTAGACAGCACAAAGAAACATAATTAGCCACCTGGCAACACAAACATATAACATAATTTATTCAGACAATACTGAAGATAATACAACCTAACCTAACTTACTGTATCATACTATACCCACAAAATACAGACAACATGAAGAAAATATATCCTACACTGGTAACATACTATAACCACAAAATACAGACAACATGAAGAAAATATATCCTACACTGGTAACATACTATAACCACAAAATACAGATAACATGAAGAAAATATATCCTACACTGGTAACATACTATAACCACAAAATACAGACAACATGAAGAAAATATATCCTACACTGGTAACATACTATAACCACAAAATACAGACAACATGAAGAAAATATATCCTACACTGGTAACATACTATACCCACAAAATACAGACAACATGAAGAAAATATATCCTACACTGGTAACATACTATAACCACAAAATACAGACAACATGAAGAAAATATATCCTACACTGGTAACATACTATAACCACAAAATACAGATAACATGAAGAAAATATATCCTACACCTACACTGGTAACATACTATACCACAAAATACAGACAACATGAAGAAAATATATCCTACACTGGTAACATACTATAACCACAAAATACAGACAACATGAAGAAAATATATCCTACACTGGTAACATACTATAACCACAAAATACAGACAACATGAAGAAAATATATCCTACACTGGTAACATACTATACCACAAAATACAGACAACATGAAGAAAATATATCCTACACTGGTAACATACTATAACCACAAAATACAGATAACATGAAGAAAATATATCCTACACTGGTAACATACTATAACCACAAAATACAGACAACATGAAGAAAATATATCCTACACTGGTAACATACTATAACCACAAAATGCAGACAACATGAAGAAAATATATCCTACATGATACATACTATAACACAGAATACAGACAACATGAAGAAAATATATCCTACACTGGTAACATACTATAACCACAAAATACAGACAACATGAAGAAAATATATCCTACACTGGTAACATACTATAACCACAAAATACAGACAACATGAAGAAAATATATCCTACACTGGTAACATACTATAACCACAAAATACAGATAACATGAAGAAAATATATCCTACACTGGTAACATACTATAACCACAAAATACAGACAACATGAAGAAAATATATCCTACACTGGTAACATACTATAACCACAAAATACAGACAACATGAAGAAAATATATCCTACACTGGTAACATACTATAACCACAAAATACAGACAACATGAAGAAAATATATCCTACACTGGTAACATACTATACCCACAAAATACAGACAACATGAAGAAAATATATCCTACACTGGTAACATACTATAACCACAAAATACAGACAACATGAAGAAAATATATCCTACACTGGTAACATACTATACCCACAAAATACAGATAACATGAAGAAAATATATCCTACACTGGTAACATACTATACCCACAAAATACAGATAACATGAAGAAAATATATCCTACACTGGTAACATACTATAACCACAAAATGCAGATAACTCGTTACACCACCTAACAGGACATACAGTAATTCCTCGCGTAACGTCGGGGTTACTTTCCTGAAAACACAACGTTATATGAAACAACGTTAAGTGGATCAATTTTCCCCATAAGAAATAGATAAAATAGGGAAGTTACATTGCTGAGCCTCCCTTTGCCCCATGAAATACATTACATATACATAAATTCAAAGCTCCTTGTGTGATGCCTGGTGAGGTGCTTGTATGCATTACTATAAAGTCACATTCATTTAGATTTTATAAGAGAAAAACTTAAAGCTCCTCTACATGACAGATAAATACATACCACTAGGTAACCTTGGTTGGCCAGCTGTCATAATACATCACCTCCCCCTTTGAACTTCCTGCAAGATTGAAGGTGGTTTAGGCTTAAAGTTTTTATCTTATAAAATGGCACATACCAAAGTTATCAGAATATAAATTGCATTGTTGGAATCCTTGCAAGACAGAGGATAATATGAATAAAGACATCATATATTTTGCACAAGAGATAAAAAATTTAGTTCCATAAGTACATTTAAGTACTGTACAGGTTTTTATCAACTAATTTTTGGGGTAGATATACAGTGGTAACTTTCTTCATTTATTTTTTGCTCATTTACATGCACACATCGTCCTCAATACATATTGTAAAAAGGGTAAATGAAATATTTGTCCTCAGGGAGAGGGGCTGTAAAAAGCAGTCCGTGATGATGCAAACGACGTTGTACTGAGTCACCGGACATTAAGCGAATTTTTTTTCTCTAAAGTTTAGCAACATAGTACCGAAAGAACGTTAAGCGGGCCGATGTTAAGTGAGGACTTACTGTACGTGTATTATGAAAATATTCCTATGAAGGATAAATCCTAACTTGCCTTCCCTAGCCATGAAACATGTTGCAACCACAGACAATACCTAATTACATTAAACCAAAGATCTAACAGGGTGAACCCTACAGCTAATGCTGACAGTGGTCCTGCATTGGAGAGTGAGTACTCTGCCCCCTCTTTAACTGGCCTCACAAACAACTAGAGATCTCCAAGTGGACTATACCTTTACTCTCTGCCAGTCCCTCACACAAGACTTCTACCAACAGGCTTCCCGGTCGGGTGTAATTGACGCTCTAACACACTCTCTGCTGGGGAGTGTTTGGATAATCTCATAACACATGATACTCTCTCACCTCCAGTGAAGGTCACACTGCAACCTCCATAACCTTGAGGAGCTGCAAATTTTTCAACCAATCACAAGGGTTTCCTCTAATATGTCATGAGTAACTGCTAACCACCAGTTTTTGTCATACTCCTTACAGCAGGGTCCACTAATATTATTTTTTGTTTTCCCCTAGTTTAGTGGTCAGTTTTCAGGAACACATTTCGATACTAAATGAAGGATACCTGTTAATATATTATGTAGTCCAGATCATTTTGTTAGTACAGAAATAATTCTTTGAGGACTAGAGCCATTTTAGGTCAAGCATGGAGCATGGACGACAAAGATGTTAGATTGGTCATAATAATTTCTTGGATGATTTCTTGAGTTGTAGCAAGAGGACTCAACCTAAATAAAGGACCCTCTACTCATAGGTTTAAACCTATTCATTTTTTGTTATACAGCAGAAGCATACTTAAAGTAGGAAACTTTGGCATTTGATTCATTTAATGTATACAGGGGGTCCCCTACTTAAGAACACCAGCCTGTATGTATGAGGTTAAACTTTAAATTTACAGTATTTTATTTACCCGATAACTTGTTTTTTACTTTCATTTACTGTATTTTGTCATTCTATTTCACCTCTTATTTTAAATTAAGTGATTTTAGATGTATATAAGGACTTAGGCTACAATATAGTGGGATTTTAAACATTGTTCTGTAAGTACGGTATGCACATAGCATGTGTTACGACTTAAACGTACTTACTTTCCAACTTAAGAACGTCCTTAGGAACGGAACCTGTTCATAACCCTGATATATGTGTGGTTAAGGACCAAAGTCACACGATTTACAGTGAAACAGCATTAAGGGAGGAATACATGTAAAAGCAGGGGGGATAAGGAGTGCAAGAGTGTTTAATGTCACTGATGCAACACAAAGCAGGACAATTTCTTTCATAAGAAATAATGTAATAAGGAAGGAATAAAGATGAGACTTTAAATTTGTTTTCTACTTACAGAAGAGAAAAAGTATCTTTGATATTATTAAGCAATAAATCAAAACAGAAAAGTATTTTCAGTGTAAAAAAAAGTTCTTAATTTTAAACTTCCTTTGAAAAGGATTTAACTATAACCTATACACTTGTTTATCTTACCTTGAGGAGTGGATGAGTTGTGCTTGATTGTGTTTATAACATCCAACTTAATATCCAGTATAATAGTTATGCACTTTTTCTTCTCCTTACCACCTGCACTTAGCACTATGCTTGTCACTCATTATTGAATGACTTAAATTAAATGGTTTAAATTTTGGACCTTGAGCCACCTGTGTGAGGAAGTGTTGTTCCCAACAAAAACTTTGTCTGGCAATATCTCACTGAATGGTGTATCCTGCTGTTAGGAGGTTCAGTCTTTAAGAAAAAGTGGGTTAGATGGTGTTTAAATCTCACGGGTCACTTGCTCTTTCTTGTTGGTCATAAATGGGATTTCCTATGTCAATCCATCCATTTTCACTCTCATGTTATTTTGAATTAAGTTCTCATCAAAGATTTTGTTGTATTTCCAAGGTATTCACATGCAAAAAAATATATATACAGTATATATAAATAAATACAATAATATCTCTTTGCAGGTAAGCTGCTTACATGTAGTGAAGATAAAAAACCTCTTGATCTAATGAAAGTGTGTGAAATTCTGCGTAATAAAACTGTGAATAAAGAAGTATGTGGCAATGCAACTCTCAAGATGGAACCTTGTGTGGGATGCCATCAGCAAGATATCTGTGTGTGCTTGATACCTCCTACAAAACCAAGTAGTTCCTCACAAGTTTCAGGAAATCACAGTAAAAAACGAACACAGATGCAGGATTCAATTTCTCAGAAAAAGAACTTAATGCCTTCAGGTACCATGCACCTATCACCAACAAAAAAGAAGATTAAAGTTCAGATAACTCAAAAATCTCAATATGAATATTTTGTTGGTTATTCAAGGGAGGAATTAATATCTTACATAAATGAAACATCATCTGCAGGAATTGATAGTCAGCACATTTTTGATAAAGCTGATGCCCATACAGCCAAAACATCATCAACTTGTTCAAAGAAAGAGGTAATAGAAAACTTACCCTATGGGATACCCCAAAAAATGTCCAGAAATAGTAGTGTGTCCCCAGTTGGTGATGTTTCCAGCACTGTTACTGGACCTTGCTTGTATCCACCATTGGTCTATCACTTACTTTTGAGACTTCTAGATCCTAATCCTGATTCACGTATAACAGCTGAAGAAGCTTTAGCTCATCCATTTTTGAAGTCCCAATCTATACATGGATGTTTATAAAATATAAGTTAGATACAACTGAATAGTTTCTGTTAAATAAAATCAAAGAAATTAAAGAATTGTTGGTGCTGAATTTGTGCCTCAGTGTGAATAAACTGACTTTTTATAGAATTTTGATTTATATATTTTTATTGTAACGTGATATACAATTAAAGCCCATATTTAAATTGCACCATATTACTGGAAATGCCAGTTTTATAGAATGGCAGTGACTGGCTGGCAAAAATTTTTATTTGGTGTCCTGCAATTTAGAGTGGAGGACTATGGTTGCCAACCCTCAGGTATGGGGACAATACTCCGATTGATTGACCGAGTTTCAAAATTGGCTGCTATGCATGAAATCTAATAAATATTCTTATTACAGTGATCTTAATATATCTTGGGTATTTATTAATATTTTAGATTTTCTTAATGCTCTGTGTAATTTCTGTCATAGCAGTGGAGATAAAACATTTAGTAAATTTCATCATGGCATTCCTTATCCCACTAACCCCATTACTTCTCACTACATACAGATATTGTTGGAATAGTTGTGTTTATATACTTTGGGATATTTTTATGATACACATGATTTTGTTATAGGTAAAAACCTAGTAGTGATTCGTGTGAACACACCAGGTTAAATTGCTTGGAGACAGTAGCAACTAGGTCACCTGAATGTGCCGTAATTTGGTATTGTTTTTATGTATAATGTGCAGTATATAGATCAATTATTATACATACAGTACCTGTATTTACATAGTCATATACATAATTGTTAATGAAGGTAAAACACATGTCTACTTATTTATTTTATTTTTTCAAGATTGTTCAGATTTTTGTATACGTACAGGGTATTTTACTGTAATTCTACAGGGTTACACTACCCAATTCAGGTTTTAAGGAGAGTGTGAATGAAAATCGGAAAATTAAAAAAATATTCAGAAAAATTCTTGAGGAAAGCTGTTGCCTATGGCTATCTGCTAACATATTTTGATTGCATAATTTGTAATATTTATGTAGCTATGCATGATTATTCTACCCCCCTTCATTTAGAAGGCCCTTGCTTATAAAGGTGCCAGATACTGAGTTTTACACCAAAATATTATTATAAATACTTTTCTACAGCTTTTCCTATGTAAACAGAAGGGCCTTCTAAATGAAGGGGGGTAGAATAATTATGCATAGCTACATAAATATTACGAATTATGCAATCAAAATAAGTAAGCAGATAGCCATAGGCAACAGCTTTCCTCAGGAATTTTTCTGAATATTTTTGCAATTTTCCAATTTTCATTGTATTTTCAGCTGGACATTCCCCTTAAAGAAGATACTTTTACAAAGAATGAAGTTGGTCCTGAGCCACTTCATAAAAATGGGATTCTACAGGACTTTGGATTACCTATACCTGTGAATCAAAGAATGAAGTTGGTCCTGAGCCACTTCATAAAAATGGGATTCTACAGGACTTTGGATTACCTATACCTGTGAATTTTATGTCACAGGTTATTGGTGTTTATTTGAGTTATAAGATTTATTTCCTTTTCATTAATTTATAATTATATATTGTTCACATAATTTGAATTTATAACAGAAAAGTCAGGCAAAGATAAATTAGATATGGATTCTTATAGACAGAATCAGGTTGAAAATTGCTGTAAAATACTGATGATGATGATACAAATAGCTCGACTCTACCTTTCATGATTACAGTACCATTGGAAGTACCATTGATGATTTTCTTTTGTTGGTCAAGTTCACAGTGCTGCACATACAGTATAGTGGCCTCGCAAACATTGTCAATCCCCATAATGTTATGTTTTGTATGTGAACATTTTATTCTTCCAATTGCTTCTACTTTGTCTTTCCAGTTTTTGTGTGTATTCTTCTGCCACAGTATTTTACTATAGTGTGTGCGTTTCAGTGTACTGTACAAGAAAGTCATAAGTATTCACATATTCATTTGTCTAACATGGAGACTTACTCAATAATTATTTTAACACTTGAGCTGGTAGATGAAGACGGTTAATAGACAAAATATAAAGAAGAGTCTTAATATATATCATCTGTTTTGAATTTGGAAACTAATATGATAGTACAGAGAAATCAGATGAACGATATAAGACTAGAATCTCTCATATTCACTATATTCACTTACCTTTGGGACTGACTGTGTGAGGATGCCACTTTTAATCTTATATTTGGTGGATGCAAGACGATTTTATTCAGCTCAGAGACAACACTTTACACAAGGGTTTGGTAGACTATCTTTACTAACCTCTTCACTATTGGACGCCACTTTTTATGTTATATTTGTTTAATGCCAGATGATTTTATTCAGCTCAGAGGGGAACCTTTACACAAGGAGTTAATTTTTTTGTATGTTAATGAGTGACTCATTAGTCAACACTAATGGACCTTGTGACCATAAACTCAAAATATGAGATATGGTCATCACATACAAAACTCACATTACACTTTTTACGCATCATCCGAAGAACTGGTCCATTTAAGAGAAACAGGTGAAGATGTGGATATACTGTACAGACACAGAAGCCTCCATCTAGAATATATGTAAAGTAGGCTCACCACTTTCGTGGAATCTAGATTTATGATTCACCACTTTTGCGTTAAGTTCAAAATGTGCCCATCATTCAAATTCGCACACTTCTTCACCACTCTTGCAGGTACAGTACAGTTTAATGCACTGCCGCAGGTCACTGTTACTTGTAATGAAACTATAAAAGATGTTGACAAATCTTTACAATACTCTAATATGACTTATAAATCAAGAAAATATAATATTAAAAAAAAAAATTAACTGCATGGGTTTGTATGAATGACAAGTGAAAAGATGTGGAGGTGGTCATAGCCAAGGCCTTGGCTAATAACTATGTGGCTGACTTGCCAGCCATGTATATTGCACTAGTGCCTCAACATTTGCGAGGGATAGGTTCCTGGGACACCCGTGAAAACATTCTTAATACCCTATCTTTAATATTATAGTCTACCATAAATTAGGGAAAAAATTAGAAAAAATACTTTATTGAAGCCTTCTAAATACTACAGGTACACAGGAATGCACACTTACTTTATACATTTGTAATAGTTAAAATTAAATTAAACGAGAAGCAAGTAAATGTGGTGTGATGTTAGGAAATTCAACTGGCGGAAATAACTCCCGTTTTCTGTACTATACAAACCGTCTTAGAATGCACAGAGCTGCCAGATGTACAGTACTTCAAGCAAAAATTATTTAGGGAAACTAAGAACCAAGAGACTGTGAAGAACTACAGAAAAATTTCTACGAGCTTCAAGAATGGTCCAAGAAATGGCTGCAAAGATTCAATGTCACAAAGTGCAAAAGGATGCACCTGGGTCGCACCAACAGTGAGGAGGTGTATCACAGGTCCTAACAGGACGAAGAGACTGCATTAATTGACACCGAATGTGAAAAGGACCTGGGTGTGTATGTCGACAAGGAACTTACATTCTCAGACCATTATGAGAAGAAGGTGAATCAGACAAAGAAACTATTAGGTCTTATAAGAAGGTCGTTCAGATATCTGGATGGTTCGTCACTCGTCACAATCTTAAGGGTGAGATGCTTTCCCCATCTGGAGAACTGTCACCCTGACTGGTCCCCAAGATATGCTGGAGACTGTCAGTTGATTGAAAATGTCCAAAGGAGGGCTACCAGACTGGTTCCTGCTCTACTGAACCTCAGCTACCCAGAGAGATTAGAATGCCTGCAACTGTTGTTCATACTACAGACAGGCATGGGGCGACCTAATTGAAGTGTATAAACATCTCGGAGGGCACTACTCAGTCGATTGTACGTACAGTAGGGTTGGGATATATCGCAACTTTATATAAAAAAAATATTTATATCGCAGCTACCATAATTATCGACATTTTCCTTTATACAGTATAGTGATAATTTTTTTTATTTCGCGATGTAAATCAGGCAAGAAATATTTCAAATGTTCCGCCATGGAAAACAAATGCGTTTTTGGCTCACAAGAGGTACCACCGTGGTTGCTCACTCATGCATTCACGCTCTCCCGCTCAATCTTTCTGAGTGAGTGACGAGAAAGCAGCCGACTGCTGCAGATTACGACTTCTAAGATGAGTGTAAATGGGTTGCTAGTGACGTATGAAGTGAAGATAATGGAAAGCTTTAATGGGAAAGATTTAATACTGTAACTAATATTTTGGTGTTCGTTTGTGTAGGTGTGGGATTGTCAAGTGAGGGTGACAGTGTGGCGTCTACTGCCGAGTCTGGTGTTCCCAGGATGGTTCGTCAGCTGCCTAGTTTGGTGTTCCTGAGTCTGATTTTCCTTGATATTGATATTGAAATAGCCTGTTGTTACAGAGTCTAGTGTTCATTGGTGCTTTAGTTAGTAAGAAAATGAACTCGTTAGTCAAGTTTAGTCACCTTTTTTGGCCTCCAGAACCTAACCCTATTTTTCTCATTGATTATACAGTAAAGCCTCCAATAATGATGGTTCAACTAACGAAGATTCATATCTAAGACCCTGGTTAATTTAGGACCCAATTCAATTTACTCCATTATTTTCTTCGTATTTACATCAAAATTAAGAAAAGTATTACATTTTCGTACAGGTATAAATAATAACTAAATCCCGATATTAAAAAAAAAAAAAGGCCTTGCGCACGGAGGCTGCCGGGCTTGTTGGTGGTGACGTCAGCATCACTAGTATAAACAATCGCAGCTGTTGGGCCCTTTGTTTTCACGCATCTGAACAGGAAAAGGAGAAAAACTTCCCAGGTTTCTTACAGCATTTTTGCATCCCTATTCAACATGAGCAAGAGAACAAGTAATGGTAGTGTTGTTTTAAAAGCTAATAGAAAGTCTATAAGCTTAGCCGAGAAACTAGATGTGTTAAAACGATATGAAAAAGGTGAGAGAGGTCTGTGGATATTATATGGAGCAAGCAATGAACATATTTTCTGAAGTGGATCCATTAACAGAACAAAGCATTAAAATTTAAATAAATGCAAATGACCTCTACATAAAGATGTATAATGAGAAAAGAAAGCAGCTGTGCAAGGTTCTTTCGGCAGCTTTATTATTCGAAGGCCTAAACCATCAACTTCAGCTCCACCATCAAATTCAGCATCATAAGCTTCATCAACAACTTCACGTTCAGTAACATTCAGCAACAGCTTTATGGAAAGCTACAGCTTCAGCCAGAGTTGAACCTGGTGACTTCGTCATCTGAGTAAAAACTCGCACAATATTCATTGGCTGTCCTTGTGTTTAGACTTTACCACCATTGGTGAGTATTATTTTTTTACATTCATAAATATTATTTAAAACATATATGAACAGTAAATAAGTGTTGCTTTCATATTCATATGCAGAGAAATGATGATATGTTTTCACATGTACGCACTTACTGTACATACGTTGGCGTTCCCAATCGTCTCGCTTTATTTCTTTACCATTAGTGGTTAGCTATT